ACCATTCCACCTTGTACGTGTGTGAGTCTACCTCTCTGTCTCTGTACATATTTAATTAGCATGCTTTTAATTAATATACAATGCATAATTGTTAAAGTTCAAGGAAAAGAAAAAATACCCAAACAATTTAAAACAACAAGAAGGTGAAACTCACATGGGATGTAAAGGTAAAACATTAGAAAAATAATCCACCGAAACCAGGGTGTGGATTTGGATGGATTTGGGACTGCTAGGATTAATGACATATGTCTCACTCTTCTTTACAGATCTCCAATGACGAGTACCAAACTTGCATAAAGACCAGGCCCGGTAACAGTCTGTATCAGTGTATTCTGTATCTAGCCCCTGGTGACTACCATCGCTTCCATTCACCCACGGACTGGACCATTAAACACAGGAGGCATTTCCCTGGTAAGTCCAGTAAGAGCTTAGTGGGCTCCGATCAGGTACAAGAGAGACTGCTTCTGGACCACTTTCCGAGAGGCAAGCGGACGGGACACATTGCGAGCGCGTTCAGGTGTATAGTGTGAAGTGAAGAGTAATTTTAATCTGAAGCATCTTTGCGTGAATGTCAGGCGTCATCGGGCAGGGTGTTTGCGCCCCCCCCCCCCCAACCACCTTTCAAAATGTAGCGATTTTACCTTGGCCCCAACATTTGGCCAAGCTTTGAAACCAAACAAGGATTAATTATCAACACCTCCCCCCCCCCCCCCCCCCGGTGCCTTGCCCTCCCCCCCCCCCCCTACTTTCAAAAATGTTGCGCTGCCGCTGAAGACATCCCTTTCACCAAATGCTAGAATTCACATCTTTCTATTTTTGTTTAGCAATTCCAAGAAATTAGTGTTTTTAGCACTAAATTTGTATGTCAGCCCTGTACATTTCTTCATTACTTCCAATTAAGAATAAAAGGGGCATAACAGACTCCATTTCTGGCATTTTGTATAACTCTTGCAGTAAATTGCAACCAAACGTTAAAAAAAATGATATGGCATGTTTAATTCCAATGACATACATGTAAAACATTGGAAGACTCGAAACCATATGGCACAGGAAACTAGATTACGGTATTAGTACACGTACTTAAAATTGTAATTACCATGGGCCTTTTTAAGGTTACTGAGTCTGACAATTTCCATGTAATTGAATAATGCTAAGTACTGTGATGCAGACTGCAGTGCGACGTATACACTTTACAGTGTACCTTCACTTCTTACTACCTGGCATTTTTTTAAAAAAAATGTCTGTTCAGTAGACCCTTTGCATATGGCAGCCATCTTAGAGGTCTTGTTATTTTCATTCATTGAAAGCACAAAAGATCAGCTAATTAATGCTTATTTTCTTTGAACGAAAGCATGCATTCACGTCAGTCCCCAATGATTTGAATTGTCTAGTTCGACTGCATGGTTGGTTTCCAGTGATTGTATGCATCAAAAAGTACAGTCTGGAGCAAGTTCCTGGAGATTGGTGACGACGTTTGACATTCTTCAACTTTTGGGGAGTCAGGTTGGCGCAGTGGTTACATTCCTCGCCTTCCGGGTTCGATTCCTGCCCTGGTCCACATGTGGATTGGGTTTTCAGTCCCTACCTGATTCCCTACGTGGGTTCCCATAATATTCTTCTAAGGTTTTCCTCCCACCTCTAAAACTGTAATTTCTTCTCATTGTCACCTCTCCTCCAGGCTTTTAAGCTCAAGTGCCTTACTTTTGAGAAAAATTTAAAGCTAGACATTCACACTTTAATATTAGTTAACTTATAGACCATGTCAACAGTTGACGTCGCAAGCTCGTTGTGCATGGTAGTGTACCTGCATTAAACCGTTTATGTCACCACTTTCATACCAATCATATTTCAACAGATGAACATGCAGTGTAGGAGAGTACAGATTGGCATTACTATTATTATTATTATTATTATTTAGTCAACCTCAACAGCACAAAAACAAGAACAGACAAAATGTATATACATGTACAGAACAAATCCAAAAACTATAGAAATACCAAAAATAACAAGACAAATACAGACCAAAAAACCATATACATGACCACAACATCCAGTTGTGTAAACGAACGTGGTATAACACGTGGATCAAAATGGCTTTAAGATAACCAGGAATGCTTGTTTAACAGCCAGTTCCATTTGTTGATTTTGTTTTGCTTTGTCCATGTATTCGCAGGTCTCCTGTTCTCGGTCAATCCGGGTATCGCTCGCTGGATCCCCGGTCTTTTCTCAATGAATGAGCGAGTCGTTCTTCGTGGTGAATGGGAGCACGGATTTCTCAATGACAGCAGTCGGTGCCACCAACGTAGGATCCATCAATATTTACTTTGACAAGGTGAGTTTTATCGGTAGTCCGAGTTGTCACTGAGTTTAAGAATCACAAGTCAATCAGAAGTTAATTCTTAAAGGAAACATGCAGTCCAAAATTTTCATAACGTATTTTATTTTATATATACCTTCATTTATGTGTATTAAATGTGAATTAAAAGCAGAACTGGTTCTGGTGTACGTTTAGTGTGGTAATTTGCCGTCCAAAATGAACCCCCCCTTTTTGATTTTCGCGGCAACTCCAAATGAGGGCGCTGTTCATGACGTAAAAAAAGGCAGAGAAATCCAGGGCCCGTAAATGACGTCTGGGTACGAGACGGATTAGCGAAGCTACTGTGCTGTGTGTATGCGCAGCCGCCGCATACCCGTACGTGGCATTATATGCACACGTACGAATGTGTCTACATGTACAGTGGACGTGCCACGGTGCCACCGTTGTCGAATGAACACAACGACGACCGTCATGACCGTGAAAGTTCCGAAGACCGTCCTCTTCTTGCCTTAGCGAATCCGATGCAAATGGTACAGATTCGTCCGATTCGAATAAGAGTTCTAATGATTCAGACACTGACTCGATGTTTTTTAGGGGCATGCCTTGTTGCTGTACAGACCAGCATCAAAACACGACGGCTCAAAGTGCAGCGCAGAGGGCCGCGAACTCACTGGGCCCGGACCACTTTCATGACTTTGCTCTGGTATTTACCTTCACTTTGGCTCTCCAAATGCTCCGATATTTCGGATTTACTGGAAACAAATGAAGGCTTACTCCATCCTTGGTAGTTTTGCTACACCCAGCAGCCACACACCTTGTCGGTATGGCCGAAAATCGGGTGTTATATCTCCTCGATTCCGAACGAAACACCAGAAAAACTTTCAGTGCCGCAATGTATATGTACATGTATTATGATGCACGCCGCAATGCTGGTGCCCCCGCAGCGCGGCAAGTCGCTGCCTTAACTTGCGTCATACCCCTCGCGAAGTTTTATGTTAATGAAGCTTCCCTTTGTGGGGCAGAGTAGTTTGACCAAACATGTTCACAAATTATTTTCCCCCATTATCCCAGAAAATAAACACCGCCATACACAAAATATTGTTGATAACATCATCCTTTATTGATTTAAGCAAAAAAAATGCAATCAAAATTTTATTTCATGTTCCTTTAAGTCAATTTCACAAGCCTGATCACAATTGACAGGAGATAAACAATGACAAAGAATGTCACAGTTCAGCTGAGTAGCTTGTGGCTTGAGTTGTGTTGACTTGTGATGGCTTATGATGACTTGTGATGGACTTGTGATGACTTGTGATGGCTTGTGTTGACTTGTGATGGACTTGTGATGGACTTGTGATGGACTTGCGATGACTTGTGATGGCTTGTGTTGACTTGTGATGACTTGTGATGGCTTGTGATGACTTGTGATGACTTGTGATGACTTGTGATGACTTGTTATGATTTGTGATGGCTTGTGATTGCTTGTGACTGAGGCGATTACAAATCTGTCATAAGTCAGTTTACAGAGCCTCACATTGGGTCATTTGATAATGTTTATTGAAGATAATCAGGTTTCATCACTCTTTAGGTTAAGGTAAGAATGAACTACCCCAGAGGATTTCGTGAAATATGATTTTTCCCCTGGCCCAAAGTCTGTAGTAATTTGAAACTGTGACCTTTTCTATTTTGTTTAGGAGCTCCGCACCAATGTCAAAGGCAAGTTCCAGCAAGGCGATTACCACGACCATGACTACACCATCAACCCCACCTCCCCAGAGTCCGATACCCACACCAAAGACGTCCCTGCCCCTGGTATCAGGGTCTCCAGGGGTCAAGGCATTGGAGAGTTCAACCTTGGATCCACCGTAGTTCTTATCTTTGAGGCACCCAAGGATTTTGAGTTTTCATTCAGGCCTGGGGACAAGGTTAGGCTCAATGCCGGCATCGGTTCATTATGACAATAACATCAGTATTAGGTTAACATATCAGTACAGTATTTAAAGCCAGTTACACTAAGGACTCTGTGCACGAACAGAAGATGGCATTTTTTATCACTTTTAAGATCCCTGTAGACAGGACACACTATGTGCGCCTACTGGTGTGTGGGCCTACTGGTGCGTACGCCTACTGGTGCATACGCCTACTGGTGCGTACGCCTACTGGTGCGTACGCCTACTGGTGCGTACGCCTACTGGTGCGTACGCCTACTGGTGCGTACGCCTACTGGTGCATACACCCACTGGTGCGTATGTCCACTGGTGCGTACGCCTACTGGTTCGTGTGCCTACTGGTACATGCGCGTACTGGTTTGTGCGCGTATGGCATGGAGTTTGCACGACACATATTCTGAATGTGCACAAACACAGTGTCTTCGCGTGAGTGTCGGGCGCATAGGTATCAGAAGAATTCATTTGTCTGATATCTATGGTCAGGCGTCATTGGCAACACGTTGGAATATCCCTCCCAGTGGTCTCCCCCAACTCTCTCTCTTTGTAAACGTTGATACTTGAGCTTGTAGCCCACTTACGTCCTGCTGTCTGAACAGACACAGACAGTCATAATCAATCCTCTTCCCCTGCCATGCCTTTATACACAGGTTAGTCACCAACAGTCCGATCACATTTCTTGTAGGCACTGTGACTAGTCAAATTCCATCGACAGACAAAAGCAAGTAACTGGTAGGCACATCCAGCTCATCAATCGCCTTCAGTCAAAGTGTAGCTTAATCAAGGTACATAAACAGTCACTGCCAGTCAATGCTGGTTATATGTAAACGGAACTTTTATAAAACCTTTAAAAACAGTCGCAGATTTTGACTGCTGGGATGGCTTTGTTGAATTTCAGCCAGAGAGGGATGGTTAATAGGACTCCATTAAAATCCACTGCTTGGTCTTGTAGGATTTCAATGGATTCAGGATGGAACAGCCAACACACTTTGGGACCTAGTGTCCAAGAAATATGCCAATGGGTTATTCCTACTGATTTCAACTAAAAAAATCTGGATAGATCGAAGCCATTCCAAGCTGTATGAAAGAGTGAAGCTATGCACTGGTTTCGGATCCCTCCATTATAATAAAGTCGTCTAGAAGTATATGAACTTTTTTTTTCTAAACAGAAATTTTATAAAAATATATTTTGTCATTTAATTCGTTGAATAAAAAGTGTACATGGTTAATATAATTAAAAATCCTCCTTTACAAATCTATTGTTCTTGGAGTGGTAATTTGGCAGACGATGACTTCACTTCTAACAGCTAATGGGCTATCCAGATTTTTATAGAGAGATCAGTGGTTATTCCATGGGTTAACCCTAACCTTCCCAAATCCTCCAAAATCCTCTTTGCAGAATGAAAGATTTTGCAGGACTGAGGCTATAATCGGCAAAAATGTGTGGCTTAAGTTTTGGAGGATGCACTGTGTCAAAGTCTCAGGCCGGACCTTGTGTTGTATATTCTCGGCCGTGCGTACATTTAGGCCTATAATATACTTGAAATCATTTGTACTGCTCCAGGATGTCACTGGCTCTGCCTCAACACATTGACAGTGATTGTTCGAGGATTTTGCAGAATTGACCAAGGACCACATTCAAGACAATAAATGGAGGTTTTTGGAGGATTGAGGCTGTATGCAATTTTTACATGGAGGCATTTGGAGGATTGTGCAGGATTGAGGTTGCATCCTAGCAAAAATGCCTAGGAAATTAGGGGTAAGGAAGATTTTAGCCCAAAAAAGGGATTAAGGAAGGTTTTAGCAACAAAAAAACAAACACATCTCTATGCAGTTGTGATTGTCTTTTGGCCATATTTTTGAGCAATAGGCCAAAAATATTGCCCATTGACAGAAATTCATTTGAAAGAAGTAAAATTGAATCTTGCTGGAGCGGGTCTCACAGTACCGTAATTTCTTCATTGTAATTTTGATGTTCGGTTCTTGCATAAAAAGAAATCATGACTCTCAAATCTGCTTTCTGTTAAAGCATTCACAACTTTTATTTTTTGGTAGTTGGTGGCAATTTTTTAATTGACAAGACTTGGCGGATATACATGTACATGTGCCTTGTAATGTGCAAGTATGAATTTGACTCGACGGTTGTTCGACTTCTGGATTCAACCTTTGAATTGGTTTAGGAAGATTTTTCAAGTCTGAGGAAGGTTGAGCCTAGCCACTATTACTTTACATAGAATCGGATTCTACTTGAAAATTTCAGCACCATGCAATTGGTTTTGTTTAATGTTGATTTTTTGGGGGGGATTCATAAGACCTCATAAACCCAGCCCTTACCTTTGTATGTATTGTCATTGTCCAAAAAAATTGTAAGACTTTTAGATCCCCTTCCTGGAAGGCTCACTAAAACAAATTATTTATTTTGTCTTTTACATGTCCCATATTTCACATATTTTTTTTCTAGCTAAAAGCTGTATTTGTTTTGACAAGGAAAAATCTGACTTGACAAGAGTACGTCAGGGGGTTATATATGGGCAATTCCAGCATTACGCAATGTCCGTGACACAGCTCGGTGAATATACCTTAAAATCAGTTAGTAGTAAAGTAAAGTCTGTCCCGAGCCAATGTGGCCCATCAGGTCGGCGTTTATCTCCGGTTTCAGTAGCATGAAACGACTGAGAATATTTCTACTCCCCCTGGATGGGATGCTAGTCCATCGCAGGTTACTCCCCAGCTAATGCCGGTACCCATTTATACTCCTGGGTGGAGAGGGGCAAGTGGGGGTGAAGTGCCTTGCCCAAGGACACAATATATGACCAGCGGCTGGATTCGAACCCCGGACCCTCTGATCATGAGTCACGAACCCTAACCACTAGGCCACACACTCCCCCTAAAATCAGTTAGTAATGGTCAAGGAAATTTACAGACTAGGAGTCTTTGATAATTTCTTTGAATCATTAATGAAGAGGCCATGGTTAATTGGCTCTGTTATGGACAATACACTTGCTTTCATGATCCAGGAATCGCTAATATACCAACATTAGGCAACATACCATCAGATGGTTTCTGGACTACATGTATGTGGGAATTAGCTGCTGGGAAAGCTGCTTCGAAAAGTTGAAATAAATTAACCAACCCCCTGCTGTTTAAAAGGTCGCAAACAGTCAAAGTTTCCTTCCATTCCCCTGGTATACTTTTAACCATAGAGCAAGGAACCAATGGTCACTTGACCAATATTGACCCAAGTAACAGCATGGCTCAGAATGCATATTTGCATAAGAGGGTTAAAGCTTTATATAAGTGATTGCAGTTGTGAAAGACATGGATGTAGGGGTCAGAAAACTGGGGCTGTGTCAGAGTTGGTATTAAGTTAACGTTAGCACCATATAACAAATCTTATTTGTGAGTTTCTGAAACGAATCAGGGAAAGTGAACGTTTCTTACAGTACAGTATGCTCACCTGACGACAGGCAGAGCATAACTGTCGGAAACGTTCATAACTGTCGGCAAAGTTAATTGAGTTTTCCCGGTTCGTTTGTATAAATATATATTTTCTTTACATGCCTAAGAATAAACATAACAATTCTGGTATTGTATGATTTTATTTTTAAAAATTCCCTTTGTTTTATACTATTATAAACATTTCACGTATAGAATTTTTTTTCTACAGGTTATTCATTCAGACTGTCGAAACCCAGAGTTTGAACCATTCATATCTGGGTGCCACATGTCTCTAATCACATGAAATGAAAGCTGATTATTACCATGCTGGGAAGTGATTGACAACATGAGCTGTTGTTTTCACATTGTCCATTTCTGAGTTCAACCATCATGATGGAATTAAAGATTTTATAATTGAATTTAACATGAATAAGAATATATTTAAAAGACTTGGTCTTTTTGGCTCTGTTTAATACTGGTGGAAGCTGAGGTATCTAATAGGACAAAAGGTTATGTTGAAAACGTTGGGGTATTTGACAAAGGACTATAAATTGACTCCAAGTCCTTTGGTAAATATTGGAACATTTTTTGCATACTTGTTTCCGTCTGTTTGTGTATTTACTCATATTCCGGCCTGAATTTGCGCTTACTAACTTATACTTTTGGTCTTTGGGGCTTAAAACGTACTCAATAACCTTGTGTTGCAACATTTTGAAACGTATTTCAGTATTAATTGGGTTGCATTTTATAACTAGATATTTCAAAGTAAGTCTTAAGGCCATTCATTCTTGGACGTTGCACAAGAACCCAATCAGCGTTGTAATTTGAAGCTTTAATGCTTGCTATTATATGACAAATAAAATGATCAACATTTCTCTATTTAAAACGATCTTTGGCCGACAATTTAAACTTTTTTGTGTGTCCCATCTCCCTCCCTTTCATCTATTTACTGGTCTCAGAGGGCCAGCCTGCGTAATTTTTATTCCTAGGAGGGTTAGGGGCAATGTCATGAATAATTCATGTTTATCCATGAGAACGGACAATGACATCAACTGCATTGTTGTTAGTTACTCAACTAGTTACAATACATTAAAGCATTTTAAAGAACGGTTGTCGTCGAGCTACCACACAGTAGCCTAGTGGATACAAAGATCCCTGGTTCAAATCCACGTCATCGCTGCTGATTTTCATCAGCTATTTTTCTTCGCCAAATTTATCACTGAGATAATTTTAAATTAAGGGGAAAATAGAACGAGAACCTAAGTCTTGCAATGATTCAAAGGAAAAACTGAATTATTCATGATTTTGCCCCTAACCCTCCTAGGAAAAAAATTACGCGGCCAGTCTAGTGTCCAGTAGTATCTGACTGACTGACTGACTCACTTGCAATTCGGTCAGTGCTATTGTATAGTGTTACGCTCCTCGGGGCCCAGCTTTATTAAGATTGTCTTGTTTCGTTTGAACTTCCAGCCATCTACATCCGCTTTATTTTATTTTTAAATTAATTGTAATCTTTACCGAAGGTGGTGCATTTCAGTTTTTAAAAAACTGCTTAAGCTTTCCAAAAACAGCCCTCATTATTAATATTACACTGAAGTAAAATAGACAAAGAAATCACTCAT